CTTCATTCAACCAGGTGGGAATCTGGCTCTCTAACTACTAGACTATAGAGCCAGTTCTGAAACTACCAAATAGTCTCCTTTAGGAACTAATACGTTTCTAAGACTGGCTATACCAGAGATAACATTTTCAAGACAAGATGTGTCAGGAAATATAATGGCTCCCAAACACATCCAGATGCCAGCTCCTGGAACCTATTAACATATTACATGGCAAAAGAGAATTAAGGTAGCAGATGGAACTAAAGTTGCTGACTGAAACCGGAGATTCCTAAGTTGAAATTCCAACTTCTGGTACCTCAGAAGGTAACTGTATTTGGAGCTATGGCCTTTAAATTAGTAATTTAACTAAAATGAAGTCATTATGGTGGGCCCTAATTTAATGTGACTGATGTCCTTACAGGAAGAGACCAGGACACAAATATGCGGAAAGGGAAGACAAGGGAAAGGTGATGAGATGCAAATAAAGGAGAGAAGCCTCTGAAGGTACCAACTCTATTGATAACTTGATCTCAGACTTCGAGCCTCTAGAATTGTGAGAAAAGTCAATTGCTGTTCAAGTCACCTAGTCTCTGGTATTTAGCTACGGTAGCTTTAGCAAACTAACACCCTAATCAATGGACCTTAACATTGTGAGGCTTTTATGGATTATCTTGGTATTCAGAGGGTCCTTAAGTATGGAAGGCAGCAAATGAGACCGGAGTGATGTGATATGAGAACTGGACCCTCTGTTGCTGGCGTTTTGCATTTGGAGAAAAAGGGCCATGAGCCAAGGAAAGTAGTGGATGCTAGAAGCTGAAAAAGTCAAGTAAATGGATTCTGTCCTAGAGCCTCCAGTAGGCAACACAGCCTTGCTCTGCTCTCAGGAACCAGCTGTCGAAGGCCTTGTTCACAGACCTTAATAGCTGAAAGCTTTCAGGATTTGTTTTCAATCACACTTTCCCAAGGTGTCTCATGGCTCTCCATCTTGACTCACTTCCTCCCTCTCCTTTCCTTCCTAACTCTAAAAATGTTAACACGGCTTTCTCTTTTGGAGCTACTAAGAAGCTAGGTGATATTTATTTTTGATCTACCATTAGCTCACTCTTTGGGAAGGCTGTCATGTGCGATGTGACCCCTGGCAAGATTCTAAAACCAAGTGACTGTAACTGAGGGGCTCTCTGTGTCCTTGCCAGTCTCAGCTGCAAGGTCAAGAGTTGGGAACTTCTTGTCTAAGTGGCTCTCCTTTCACTCCAGGTCCTTTACTAGCTCTGGCATTACCTTTGCAAAATGCAATCCATATGAAGGATCATTATTGCAATTTGTAGCTACGTGCCTAAAGTTTCCTGTAGTTGATGGACTCTGCAACCATTCCTGCAGGATCTCTTTCCAGAAATCTAATCTGGGAAGCATGGGCATTCTGGTAATGGAGTGCTGCCTTTTGTTGGCTTGTTTGTTTTGAATGGAGCTGGAGAAAATCAGATAGTTTAAGAGCATGGTCAAAGGGCATTTACAAGGCTTAGGTGCTCTGGGGAAGGTGAAAGCTCAGGATAGGCCACGTTGCTTACTCTTCTGAACTCCCAGGGCTTGGACTCATGCTCAGGCTGTGTGCCTTGTTAGCCCATGAGCTTTCCCCATGATTTGAATTGGCTGCTTTCCCAGCTGGCAAAGTTGACATATGGCGCTATAAAACACAGGTAGCTTAGAGGCCTGTATTAGTTTCCTAGGGCTGTTGTAACAAAGTACCACAAATTGGGGGGCTTCAAATAACAGAAATTTATTCTCCCATAGTTCTGAGAGACAGGAATCCCAAACCAAGATGTCAGCAGGGCCATGATCCTACTGAGACGCTGGGTAGAATTCTTCCTTGCCTCTTACTAGCTTCGGGGGTGGCTGTGGATCCTTGATGCTCGTTGGCTTGCAGCTGCCATCACTCAGTCTCTGCCTTTGTTGTCACACAGCGTTCTCACAATTTATCTCTGTGTCCTTATAAAAACATCAGGCATATTGAATTAAGGGCCCACCCTACTCTTAACATGACCTCATGTTAACTAATTATATCTTCATATTTTCAATATCTAAATAAGGTCACAATATGAGGAAGTGAGGATTAGGGCTTTCAAGAGACACAATTCAACCTATCATAGGGCCTCATCGGTTAGAATTTGGTGCCAGTTATTTCAAAATTCAGTGCACCTTTTAATGCTTTCATAGCAGCTTCCCCTCCCCTCCATCTCTCTCCCACTCCAGTTGAGCTTTAGACTTGTCCTTTGCCATAGTTTTCTCTATCAGTTCTCCTGTATGTGTGTGTGTGTCTTCATTTATTCACTCTGTTGTTCTTTTTCTTCTGCATATGAACATGTTTAAGTCTTCTGGACTCTGTTGACCCTCTTGAGAGTAGGTTAATTAGTTGCTCCTTTTAAAAGTGCTTCTTTCTTAGGCTTCTACAACATAATTTGTACCTTGAATGTACATTTTCCTTACAAACACACAGACCTCAATAAATTCTTCTTATATTACTGACCTCAGGTGTCTTTCCAGTGTTAAAAGCAAAACTTAGACAAATTTAATTTAGCAGAGTTTAATTAAGCAAAGAAACATCTGTGAATCTGGCAGCACCCAAGACTGGTTCTGAGAAACGCCAGGTTGCTGTGTTGTTGAATAACACCTACCGACAGAAAAAGGAACGTGACCTATGGAAAAGCCAAGTGAGGTAGAGAATCACCTGGATTGGTGACAGCTTGATGTCGTCTATTAGAACACAGCTTAAACAGTGGGCTGTTTGCAACTGGCTAAATCAGGGATGCTGTGATTGGCTGTGACTCAGTCATTTGTTGAGGAAGCAGACTCCTAAGTTAGGTTATGATCTGTTTATAAGAACTCAAGTATGTGTACAGAGGCCGTCTCAGGCCAAAATTTGGTTTAACTCCAGATACTCATCTCACAGATCTAAATGCAAGACAGGATGATTTCCTTTCTCCTTCCTAATCCCACCTATAAGAAGTCACTATGGCCAACTAATTTTTTCTTTATGCATCCATTTAGTCCAATCCCATCCCCAGCCTGCATTATCTGAATATTCAAGTTTAATCTTGACTCATTCTCTACACTGCAAGCAGTGTCTTGGTCCACTTTGTGCTGCTATAACAGAACCTGAGACTAGATAATTTATAAAGAACAAAAACTTATTTCTCAGTAATGGAGGCCGAGACATCCAAGATCAAGAGGTTGGCAGGTTAGGGCATGTCTCTCTGCTTTCAAGATGGCTCCTTGAATGCTGTGTCCTCCAGAAGGGAGAAATGCTGTGTGTTCACGTGGCAGAAGAGAGCACAGCAAGAGAGGGAAAAAAACCCCACTTCCTCAAGCCCTTTTTATAGCTATGTTAATCCATTCACGAGTGCTGAGCCATCACGACCTAAATACCTCCCAACACTGCTGCATTGGAGATTAAGTTTCCAACCTAGGAATCTGGAGTAGTATATTCACACCACAGCACAGAGAGATCATGTTAATGTATTGTAAACCTAGCCACCATGCTTTCTGCCTTACAGTCCTTCAGTTAAGCTGCATACCCTTCAGCATAGCACCCAGGATCCTCCATGACATAGCCTTTACTTGCCAGTCCAGACTCCTTTTCCTTCAGTCTCACAGCTCAAGTTACCCTTCATAATCAAGATTTGTGGTTCCCCAGCAACTTGAACACCCTCCTCGCCATGCATCTCAGACCCTTTCCTGCTTTCAGCTCAGGCATCATCTCTAAACAGCTTTAGTTCTCAGTGCTCTTCGGTGTCCTGGGAACAGGCTGTTGCCTTAACAGGTTGTATGAGAGTTCACATTTATATGTCTGCTTTTTCGCTGCTAACTCTTCAGCTCTTTGAGGGCTGGGAGCAGCTCTTTAGTTTTTGGGTTTTTTTTTCTCCTATGTGTTTAGCACATAGTATGCACTCAATCAATATTGACTAAAAAACTGATTATAATAAATACTTTGGCTGATATAACTACAATACATAAAACATTAAAAACATGTTTCTTGATCACCATGACCTTCTGCATTTCGATGACTGGGACAGATAAATGAAATTCTGATAAAGAGGTATAAGACCTCTGGAAGTCATACCTGCAATTTTTCAATTAAAACTTGGATTTATTGTAGGACCCTGGGACTCCTGCCCTTTACTGTTCTGGTATACAAGGTTAAAATGGAATAGTCCCATAAATACATGTTCTGCACTATACTCACTTGTTGAATACCAGGTCTACCAGATTTGACCTAAAATAGGCTTCCCAACAACATTTGGCGCCCCTTCAACCACTCCATGTTTTTGAATCAAAGGTTTTCTGGATACATTACATTCAGTGCACAGCGGAGCCCCTCTGAGAGGAAAAATAAATAAGGAAAATGTGGCTAAACAGGAACTCTGGTGGAGTTCCCAACTTCCTCACACGCTGCACCAACTGTGTCACTTTCCTGGCCCTCCTATCCTGCCCCAAGGATCCTAGTACCGCCTGAGCCAGTAGCTGCCCTCACGGAGCCACCTTCCCTTAGGTGACCAGGTTGCACCCAACCATGGACCGCTGACCCCTGCTGAGGGACCGCCACTGCCCAACACTGTAGTGGGAGTCACGTGTCCCTGTCCTGGTCAGGGACCCGGACCTGGGCCCTCCCTGGCCACAGGGCAGAGGCCGCCCGGATCACGCGCGCCCGGGCGGCCCTGGCCCAGCCCAGCCAATGGGCTGGCGGGGGCCGCCTGACCAAGGGGCGGGCGCCCCCCCCAGGACCTGCGCCGGCCGGAGGGCGTGGGGAGGCAGGCCAGACGCGCACGCTGCCGGGCCGGATCGCCACCCCCGCTGCCTACCGGACGGGAAGTGAGCCACCGGGACGCGAGTTCCAGTGAGTGCTTACCGCAGCCGCCTGCACCCGGGACGAAGCATGGCGGCCGCCAAGGTAAGCGTCTGCCGGCGGACCCTAGGGGGCTGGAGGCCGGGGCGCTCACGTGCCTTGGTTGGTGCAGTGGGAAAAGCAAAATGGGGTGCTTAGCAGCTGTCCCATCTTGCAGCTGCAGGCGGGAGGAGAATGCCCCTCTTGGGCAGCACCGTGCTGGGACCGAGGCCCGACCTTGCAGCAGAAACTTTGTCGGATGGACACTCCCCCTTGGCCGCGGAGGGGTGTCGGTACCGGTTGGGGCTGAGCCAGGGCCGGCGAGGTGGAGCCGGCGCAGTTGGGGCCCAGTGTACTAGGGGCGGGGAAGGACTCAGGGTCGGCAGGTGCCCTCGATCCCCTCAGCGCGCTCCTGGTTGTTGGTGACCAAGGCTTTTCCCTCTCGGGAGCACAGCCTGGGCTGAAGCCTGATCCTATTACGTTTTAAGAGCTCCGCCCCAGCGGGTGGGGAAGTCACCTTGACTTCCGTTTTGGAAACTGGCGGGGATATTTGGCCTGTGCCCTGGACCCTTCTTTCTCTCTTTTTTCCATCTTTCCTTTTCCTCTCTCCATCTGACAACACTTACACACTCGTCTCAGAACGCTCGAGTGGCTTCTTTTTGGAAATGACAAAACAGATTGTCCTGGGAGCCTGTCTCTCTGTGAAGTTCTACTTAAAAGGAATTGTGTGTAATGCGAATTATTCACTAACCCAGAGGAAAGGCAGCTCTGACAACTTGACCTTTGCTCTTTCACCATTTCTTGAAACCTGGACACTATTTCAGTCTCTTTGGGCTGCATTTCAACTTTTCTGGCAGAATACCGTATTTAGTCCCAATCACTTGAATCATTGGAATTTATTGCTTTTAATTTTAAGTTCACTAAGGCAGCCCTTTAATCAAGCCTATACAACTTCTTAGCTCATTTTAAGTGCAGTGAACTTAAATATACCCAACGTTTCAAACATTTGTCCTTAATCAAAACTCTGTGATAACCCTCAAGAGGAAAACATGGCCAACACATCATATTCCTATTTATTCAAGCAAACTAATCACATTTGCAATGGAAATTGTAAGCAGACAAATATATTTAAATGCTGTTCTATGACTTAAGCCTCTCCAGGCTTCCCAAATCTGCAGGCTTCTTCATGTTCCTAGACTATGTGGTTAAGTGATCTTTCTCTTCTTTTCTGTAATTACTCTGAGTTCTATCCTCAGGAGAGTGTTCTGAATGTGTGTGTGTGTATGAATTATGCCATGTGAACATGCAGATATATAATATATATATATATGTAAGACATATATATATATGTCTTAGGCTGATTCTTTGAGTATCACTAGGTTTCATCTTTCATCTTTGGAATCTACATTAACTTTCAAACTCAATAGCCCTTGACCTTTACTTGGCATTAAATTTGCATGCAAGGGGACCAGCAGATGGCATAATGTTTATGTTGCTGGTCTCCTACATAGTTGACCATGGTTCGAGTCCTGTATTCAGAGGCTTAAAACTCACACTGGGTGTATGTGTGTGGCCAAAATCCCAAGAGGAGAATAGAGAAGAAGAGAGTGTGGCCTTGCCATCCCCCCTTGGGGGATGTGTGTGTGTGTGAATTTTTGCTTTCTTTCTCTCTCTGGCTTTCCCGTGAGCACACATGTTCTATAGCAAAAATCTTTCTTAAAAAATAAAAATGCATGCGAGTAGAGTATAAGGATTGATATATATTTATTTTCTAGAGTTACTGGGAGTAGATACCCATTCTTTTTTTTTTTTTTTTTAAAGTTTATTTCATGAAAGAGAGAGGAATAAGCACCCTCAAGAGGGCCTCATGTCCTGGTCTCTCCTCCTCTTACCAGCCAGCTAGGATCATGCATGCAAACTTTCACTCCCCATGTGTGCAGCCTACTTGGTACCAAACCCTGATCTTCCATAGGGCTCCAGCATGACTAAGCCACATGCTACTGCTGTGTCACTGCTGTCAGACCTGTCATTTTTGTACCTGTAGATGAATTAAATAATTTTACTTTATTTGGAGATAAAATAATTGAAGACCTTAAATTGAGAAATGTGCATAGGTTAAGACCTAACTAATAGGAAGTAAAATAAGTGGCATGGAAGCTGGTTCAACATTTTGGTTGTATTTTTAATTAAGATGTCAGATCATATCAATGGTTTCTAGCCAAGTAGTTAGTCAGGAAAAATGAAACATTTTCATTTCACTTGAGAACTTGTGTTTTTGTTTATTTATTTATCTCAACTCACCCGTTTCCAGAATTTCTGATGGTTCATGTCATATGTGCATATACTTACAATCCAACAAGACAGATCAAAGTCAAGTCTCAGGTAGATGAGAAAAAACAGGATAATGGGAAAGTAAGATTAAGCCACGACTAAGGCTAGTAGAATATAAGTATGTGCTTGCTAGATGTGCCTGCATTTTCTAGCAGTGCAAAGTAGAAACCATCAGGGAGATCAGTTCTTTAGGGGAGAGGTCCTCTTATTCTACTATCTACAGGCAGTTTCTCCCCAGGTCCTTTTATACGCTGTGGATGAACTGCATTTGAAACTACTTCATGACCACAAATAGGATGTTTGTGGATTCCATAAGGCCCTTTCTAAAAAGCCTATTTCTGTGGGCATGAGGGAAGAATCCTCAGGATGAGTGGTGTATCAGGTGGAGTGGATGGGGAAGAGAGAAGTTCCAATCCGGTGACTGGAAGCAGCAAATGAAAGGCAGAGAAGTGGGAGTACATGCTGCATTTAGGAAATATCAGGTAATTAGGAAAATAAACCCCTGAAAGTCAGCTAAGATTTACTGAGTAATGTCTTAGTTGATTTTCTGCTGTTGTAACACAGTACCTTAGACTGCAGTCATTTATCAAGAAAGTGTCTTTGGCTCATGTTTCTGGAGACTGGAGAGTGCAAGAGCATAACACTAACATCTAATGAGGACTTTCTGGCTAAATTATTCCATGGTGGAAGGGCAACTGAACATGAGAGATGGGGGACAAATAGGGCTGAATTTATCCTTTTATCAGGAGCCTGCTCTGTTCATAATTAACCCACTCCTGAGGTAATGGCATTTATTCATTCCTGAGGGCAAAACCCTCTTGACTTAATTACCTGCTAAAGGTTCTACCACCTAATAACATTGCATTAGGGACTAAATTTCCAACACGAGATCTTTGGAAGCATACTCAAACCATAGTAAGAGCTTACTAGATACCCGGTAGAGTTTTAAATATTTTTCTTTATTAACTTCATAAATGCCTCTTACAGCCTTATGAGTTAGAAGCTATCTCTGTTTTAGAGATGAAGGCTCTGAGATGCCAAGATAGACACCTGGTCTAAGATCTTATAATTAGGAAGTTATGGAGCTGAGATATACATCCTATTAGTCTGGCTCCAGAGTCTTCTCTTT